GAGGAGGAGGAGGAGGAAGGGAGGAAGGAGGCGCAGGAGGGAGGGTGAGGGAAAGAGACAGAAAGGAATGGGAGGAAAAGACTTTTGATAAGGGCAGCATTTTTTTAGGGCAGGATAGAGTAGTTTGTCTGTTTTCATTTTTTAGTTTTTCTGATCCTGAGCTGTGGTTGACTCTAAGCTGACGGAAAAAAAAAATTCTGATCTGCTATATGTTTTGCTCCTTTTATTAGACAAAAATATGAGGAAATGTGGTCCCTTTTTTTTCTAAATGGCTATTTAAATACAGATAGCAGCACACAGAGGAACTGGAGCAGCAGGTTCTGCTGCTGCTAGCGCTTGCCTGTTCCCGACACATCCCTTCATCCACTCGGAGGACAGCCGGCCACACAGTGTGGTGGAACACAGCTGGCACTCGGCCCAAGCCGACCATCATGCAAGGAGTGGCCTTCGCGCTGAGGGCTGTGGAGGCCGGGACAGGTCACTCGTTGACCAATGCCATGCATATAATTTCAGAACACAGTGGAAAAAGGAGCTCCAGACAAAGGGCGAGAAGAAAGGCCAACACAAAGGCCCGAGAGAATATGTAAGATTTTCCTTGAAGATCAAGCCAAGTGATGAAACAGCGTCTTGCCTCAATTTTAGCTGAAGAATTCAAATAGTTTACTTCTACCAAGATTTTCACAGGTGATTTCTAGAAAAAAAAAAAAAAAAAGGGAAAGAGAATGCTCTTTTTCACATGGTACATGCCATTTTCTTAAAACAACTCTCTCTTATTTCAAAAAGTTTGCTTTGAGGATATTCTATATCCACAAACAAAACCACGTGTATATTATACATACAGAGAGAGATGCATACAAGTTCTGTAAGGTTTAGGGTCAATGTAATCACAAACATGAACCCTAAATCTTACATTATATTTTATGAAATTATACATTTATATAATATAAATATAACATGTGTTTACAAACATTGACTATAAATCTTAAATTTTACATATCAGAAAATTAAACACTATTATCCAATATATGCATATACTGACCACAAACTTTACAAAATTATATGAATGCTCACTACAAACAAATGTGCTTAGCACCTGTTTTAATAACCTGTGGCCTCTGAGAATCTGCCTTTCCCTAGGCAACTGCTTAGGCCTCCTCGCCTGATTCTTATTTTCTGGCAACTGAAATAAAAGTTTTGTATGATAATAAAATTACATGTTCTTCTAGGCCTTTGGGAAGTTGAGGAAATAGGCATGTGGAGACCAGGCTTCTGGGCTTAGAATTCTCCAATAACTACCGATTGGATAGTTCCTAGTGGACTTCCTGGTAGAAAATTAAACTTAATTTCCTCCTCTTCTTCCTCCTTCTTTCTTTCTTCTTCTTTGCCTTCTTCTCTTTCTCCTTCTTCTTCTTTTGTCTTTTGGATGCAGAGTCTCACTATGCAGTTCAGGCTGGCCTTGAATTTACTTTGTAGCCCAGGCTGGCCTCGAACTCACAGCGATCCTCCTGCCTCAGCCTCCCAAGTGCTGGGATTACAGGCATAAATTTAATTTCTTGGAGTTTCCCTTTCCTTTTTAGTAAACTAAGGCATTGTATCATTTTAAAGCTTCTAATAAGTTTATAGGTCCCTTCTCAATCTAAATAAGTCAAAGCTGCTACAAATATTTTAGAAGTTGGCACACGTATGCAAACACATACCTCTGCATATGTACCTAGATAGACACTTACACACGGTTCCATTGTGAAAGGGGGAGCTATACAACGCTCCATAGCAGCACTTTACGTGCATCCCTACCAAGCTGCTCTTGCTCCTAAAGAAAACGAAAGTAAGTTTCTGGGTGGCATTCAGTTGCAGGAAGAGTTCTGAACGGCCAGATTTGGGAAGGAGTTCAATGCACTCCCGACTCAGGCTCCGGGCGCTTCCTTCGCAGTACAGGGCAGTAATTCAGGTGACCGCATCCCAGCTCAGCTGGGGACCCAGCGGAATTTGTAACCTCCGGTGGCCGTTCGGATGGTGAAGGCATTGCCCTGCGGGAAGGCGAGGGTTCGGATGGTGCCGTGGCTGCGGATGGGGGTGCTGAAGGAGCCGCCCTCCTGCAGCTCGCTCTGGCTCAGGTCCAGGGCCCTGGGGCGGCAGTCGGTGCGCAGCCCCCGGAAGGCCCCGTGCAGGCTCCCAGGCCTGCAGGCCGCACTCCCCGGCTCCAGCTGCATCCGGGGCCGCTTGGGATCCCGGCTCCGCAGGGCTTCGTCGCAGCGCTGGGAGATCTCGCTCAGGACGGCGTCCACTTCCGCGCAGTCCTGGCCTGCGGCGCTGACCAGCTCCTCCAGGCTCCTTTTGGCAGTCGCCTTGAGCACGAAAGTCTCTGCCGCTGCCCCAAAATCTCGGGACTGCGTGATCATCAGCTTCTAGGAAAGACGAGGAAGAGCGCCGCCCTGGGGCCCGCTGGACTCCCCCGGGTGGGGGCGCAGGAGGAGGCCCCGGAGCCGCGCACCTCGAGTCCAGCAGACCCCAGCGGGTCCGACGCCGCAGCAGGGGTGGGGGTGGAGGGAGGCGTGGAAGCGTCCGCAGCCTGCGCGCCACTTACGTCCAGCACCGAGGCCAGGTGCCGGGTCCGGCTGGCCAGTTCCTTGAGCTGCACGTTTCGTTCTTTGAGCGAGGCGATCTCCTCCTGCTTCTGGCTGAGCGTCACATGCAGCTGCAAGAGGAGACCGCCAGGGATAAGCCGCCAAGCTCGCGTCCTCTGCTTGCACTAAACCCAGACCCTGGGATCTCATTGTGAATTGAGGCCCGGGGTTACATTCCCGAGAATAATTAACTTATTTGACTTTTTTTTTAAAAAAAAAAAAAGTACTTGGATTTAAAATAGATCTCCTGGTATAGCTCAGCAGCACAGCACCTGTCTGGCAAGCCAAGGCCCTGAGTTCGATTCCCAATACCATAAAGTAGATCTCAATGTGTAGGTAGTGGTGAAGAGTAGTGACTTCGGCAACAACTAGATCTAGGTTTTGCCTCTGAAGTTCAACCACCCTCAGGCCTCAGTTATCTGTAGATCGGGAGGATTCCTTGTCCTTGTGACCCCTACTTCTGCCCTAAGCTCCAGGCCCGGTCCCCACCAGGTCCTACTTGGTTATTCTCCACAAGAGCGTCCCCCAGGGCCCTCTGATTCTGGTCGGCCACTTCCTTCCAGTACTGCTCCAGCGGTGGGTGTGGCTCCTCTGGAGGGCACAGTGCTGGTGAGTGCAGGGTCTGCGGGCCCAGTGGCGAGAAGCTGGGACCAAAAGGCAGTATGTCCTCGTTGCAAGGGGAGAAGGGGAAGTCACTGTCGGCCAGGGGAGGTGATATCAAAGACGATGAGTCTGGTGGAAGAGCGAATGCTGGATTTGCTGCCACAGACACATGCCCAGCTAGCTACAGGGGCAAAATGCTGCAGCAGGGTAGCTGTGTATGTGAGGATGCATTCACTTTTGTGTTGCAGGGGTGGCGCCCTTCATGTTGCACCGCATGCCACCTCAGGCCACTTCCTACCCTGTCCAAACAAAGCAGCTGTCTACATCCACCTGCTGAGTTCATCTCAGATGAATCCAGCGAACCTGGCTGGGCCCAGAAGGCACCCAGTGCCTTCCCTCCTCTGCGCACTCTTCTCTCACCCTCTTCTTAGCCACATCACAATAGCCCTAGATCCCTCTCCCAGAATTTATGGAGAAACCAAAAAGGTACAACTGACCCAGTGATCCAACGCTGTTGGAGGGAGGAGGGAGCATCCTAGTTATGGAATAGCCTTGCCCTTTGGTGAGATTCTGGCAGTCACCGACAGGTGGCTATGTTTGCACGGCCCTCAGACCTTCACAACCACGAAGTCTGAACCAGTCTGATTCAGGAGTGGGGGACAACCCCACATCCTCATTATTTAACTGCAAGAGGACTGCACTTGCCTGCAATGAGATCATCCACTGTGTCTCTGAAATTTTGCAGATCGAAGTCTGCTTCTGCTTGCAAGGAATGATCCTAAAATAAACCAGGGGTATAGAAACAGTCAATGTGGGGTCTGGCCCTTCCAGAGCCAGTCCTCAGTGGGTGGGCATCTTCCTAGCTTCTGCCAAGGATCTGCACACAAGTGTATTCTCAACCAAGTCGCATACCTGAAAATCCAAGCTCTCTGTAGCACAAGGACCCCAGCGGCTTGGGCTGTGCTGATAGGAGCCAGATGCACAAAACGAAGACAAGGCCCTCTGGACAGCAGCCAGAGGATCACGCTGGGAGCACAAACTGCACAACTGTCCTTCCTCAGGCCATGTAGAAGTCAGTGCTGCCTCAGTGACTTGCACCAGACAACCAGCTTCCTCTGTAGAAGTTCTTTCTGCCCCCTGAGAACCTTAACTCAAACTTACCCTCGACTAGGCAAGAAGTCATTGCTTTAAGCACAGAGCTCCTGGCTTGAGCACCTGAGCAATGGGGTCTTTTCTCCCCAGACCGAACTGTGTGCAGTCTTCCAATGTACTAACTTGAAACCCTGCTTCCTGAAAAGGCTGTCGTTGTTACACACACACACACACACACACACACACACACACACACACAGAGGGAAGGGTGGCCTATAACTGAAGGGGATACCATTGTGGGAAGCAGGTAGGGCCCAGGAAGTGCTTCCTCTTCCACGAGGGGAAATCTGAAGCTCAGAGGCTGAGTTACCCAAAGTCACCCAGCTCCTGACCTGGAATGTGAGTGCCTATTTCACTCTTCTTTCCTCCACCCCCCTCCATCCCACTCCCAAGCCCCTTTCCCGCTGCTTCTCTTGTTCAGGAATGCCTGGCCTCACTGAAGAGAGCATGGAAAGGAGAACTTAGCTTCCAAGGCCCTGGTAGGAAGGGCTGCACCAACGGGCATTCCAGAGACATCTGTTCTACAGATTCCAACCTTGATTCCCGCCTCTGGGTTAAGCCCGATGGTCTCCACAAATCCTTTCTTTATTAGTTACATATTGTGGGAAGAGGAATTTATTCTGATACTAGTTTCCATTTCTATGCGGGGGGGGGGGGGTTAAGGCCAGAAGCCCCAGCATCAGTTGGACACTAGAGCACTAGAGAGAGGAAAGGAGCTGAAAGGAGGATTGAGGGCCTTGGGGGAAAGCTAGAAGCTCCTGTTTTGTGAACATAAATCCAAAATGACATCCGTTCTTCAAAGGGCTGAGAAGTATCTATTTCCATTCAGATTGGAGGAGAGTCCCCACCTTGAGGAGACTGGAACTCAGCTCAGGAACTGGGGCCCAGAAACTGCTTCCTCCTAGCTAGGCTATTCAGCTATCGCAGGTCTTTTACCATGCTGGAGGTGAATACTTCTCACATGCTCATTCTCTGCCCACCTTCCCCAGCAGAAAAGGGCTGGGAAATGTGACCCAAGGTGCAATGACCAGGAATTTATTAGGGATCTTTCTCCCCCTGCTCCAGTGCTTTCCTATTGGAAATTTAGGGCCTTTTCGTCCATCTGGTGTGAGTGATACCCCAGAAATTTCAAATCCTGCCTTCCCAGTTAGATAAATCTGGCATTTCTCTAATAATATGAAGAAGAAAAAAATTTACAGAACATGTCAAATTTAAATTGTTTGTATGATTAAGTGAAAAATTCAACCAGAGTCTGCTTGATTGTTGTTACTTGCAAAATAAACATATTGGAGTAAGGGAGTGCCCTAGGATCTAGGTGGGGGGAAAGATGCTCAGGGTTCTCTTATTTGAGCATTGAGATCTAAAAGAAATAAATGGCCTCCTCCTTAACAATGTCTGCTCTCAGTGGCTGCCTACCCTGAGCTCTTTCCCAAGGTTCCTAGAGACCCCTGGAGGAGGACTGTGCGGAGTTCTGGGAGGTGGTCACACCCGGTGAGCTCCCTTCTGAGCCTGCCCCAGTGCCTGCTGTCGGGTAGCCTGCATGGTTCCCTTCCTGTGAGGTGCTGCTTAAGGCCGCCTGCACTTCTGGGTACATGCACCCGGCTTCTCACCTCCCGGCCAACTGGGAGACTCAGTCCTTTGCCTGGGAGATATCAGCCCCAACAAGTAGTAAAAGTGGGAAAGAGTAAAACAGGTTCGAAGGAAAGAAAAAAGTCCAGCCTGTTTGCCCATGACAGCAAGGGACCAGAGCTTTGGGTGGGAGAGAAGAGGACCTTTTAGAAATGTCCGACTGCTGAAGAGCCATCACTGTAGAGAGAAATGTTTTATGTTGATTTCTTCTCAAGTCCTTTGTCCTCCAAGTCCCTCAGATACAAATTCCTTCTCCTTGAGCTACACCCTCAGGCTTTTTATTTATTTTAATTTTGAGACAGGGTGCCGCGAAATTGCCCAGGCTGTACTTGAACTTGCCATCCTTTTGCCTCCACCTCCCAGGGTGCTGGGATTACAAGGGTGGGCAATTCAGCCATCCTTCACCAATTTCCATGCTCCTTCAATACCCAGGGAATGAAAATGATTAGTGAGAGGCCAGAACAGAATGTTGGGAGGACAGACAGGGCTCGTATCTTGTGTGAGGGCACCCAGCGCCCAGTTTCGCAGGCACTCATTCTCCGGGCCCCTCAGAGCCATGATTCCAGGATGCACTGATTTTTTTTTTTTTTTAATGCGAAACCAGGGATTGAACTCAGGCTCTTGTGCTTGCCAGGGAAGCACTTATTCTACTGAGCCATCTCCCCGGTCCCAACGACTCCAGGATACAGATGGGGAGCCCTGAAGCCCGAAGAAATCCTTGCGGAAACGCAGCCTTCACAGCGTACCAGGCGGAGGGAGGTTGACTCTAGGTGTCTCCGGCTGCGCACGCCGCCTCCCCACTAGCTGCATGAGCTGTGCTTCGATGCGGATGAACTTTGCGAAAAGAAACCCACTCCTTGGAGAGCAGCGATTGCGCAGGCAGGCCGCGAACCCGGGGAAAGGGCAGGTACCTGCGAGGCGGCCGGGTCACCGGTAGGCGGCGCGTCGGGCTGGAGCAGCGCGGAGCAGTCAGCGAGGTCCTGCAGGTCGATGGTGGTGAGGGCTGCGCGGGGAGACGGAGACGGCGCCCGGCAGCCCCTCAGGTCTCGACCCGCCGTGGGCTGCAGCCCCGGCCGGGACGCCGGAGTCGGGGAGAGAAGCGGGGGCCGCGCGCTGCCCCACCGCGGGGACTCGGAGGGCTCACCTGGCAGCGCGGCGCGGACCGCGCCCGGGGGCTCCT